CTAGATATGGCAAGAAATGTAAACATTTTTTTTCGATTTCTCTGAAACGGAGCAAAAACGAGCATATGTCTATAGGACTTTTTTTCTTAGTTTTTTACTCCTCTACACGCTCCCGAAGTTTTGCGATTTAATTTGGAAACACCCTGTACATATATATATAATATATATTTAAAATGTACTCATATTTATTTTATTATAATTACATATATATATATGTATACACGCGCGCACGCAAATACACACACATCAATTAATGTTTGAATAAAATAAAATTACAAGAAGTTTTATTACGTTGAAGCAGTTTCATCATGTTGTATCCTTTTCGATTTTTCAGTTGCATGACGAAGCCATGTTTTAATTGGTTCCGAAATTTCATATTCAGTTGCTTGTGTATATTTAATCTGAACTACACCTACAATAAAAATAAATTATATATATATAATGCGCATGATAACGTTTCAAGACCGAAAAAGATTTCAGCACGCTGCTTGCGAAATTAGAAATGTATATAAATTCACATCAAGTATCTAAACATTAAGATCTGCTTTGACTGAAAGTAGGAAAGTAGTTTTTCATACTACATTTTTTGTAACTTTTAGTCATAGATATTTATATAACGTTTGGATGTTAAGACTTGGGACACTTTGTAATATATAGGTACATATATGTACATACAGTCAGCGATTAAAAGGTTGCAACATTTTCTTTTCGATGGGTTTCGGAATGCAGCTTGCTCACCGATTCGTTCTTACTTACAGATCCATGAGTAAGAATCAATCGCTCGGTGAGTAGACTGCATTCCGAAACCCATTTAAAAAAAGTGTTGCAATCTTTCAAGCTGACTGTACATACATATAAAACACATAAAATGCAGTATAAACAAAATGTCTAATAATAAAATATATTTTCTAGATATGTATACATGTATACTTACTAATTAGAACTGAGCAAAGGTTTAATTCTGAAAAAGTTTTGTTGTTCTTCTTTCCGTACCAACTGTAATCTTTTGCAATAGTTATTGAGAAAATTCTTTTCATTAAATTCAAAATAACACTTTTCAAGTTTTTGCCACCAATTCTTGAAAGTTCTTTTATCTAAGAAAAACATTTTTTTTTTAAATGTATAAGTATAAAAATTAAACATAATTATGTATCTTTAAATAGCAATAAACAGAATGTTTTATCATGCAATAAGGTATAAAAAAGTTAAAGAACATATCTATTATTTAAAATTTAAAGAAAGAATTAGTATTAAAATTCATAGTGTCATTAAGGAATATATTATATAACATATACGAATATCTCGACAAATATTTATATTTTACCAATTTTGAGCGATAGTCATTATTGGTGAGAGTCTCTTCCAATTCATTTAAAGCGTTATCAGTTTTTATTGGAAATTGTATCATTACATTTGCAGTCTCTTCGTTGTTTTCGTTTAAATCATTTTGCGTATTGTTAGTTTCCCATTGCTCAAGAAAGTTTAATTGGTTTTCTATTAATAAATCTAATTTTTGCTTAACAATAGCAAAATTTTTATATACGTAATGCTTAAATTCATCAAATTCTAAAAAAAAGAAAACAAATTAAATTATATCTGAGAAAAAATTGAATACAATTTTATTTAATACAAGTATTAGAAAATAAATTTTTGTTTTATATTTCTGCTGCTGACATATACAGATAATGATAAATAAACTATAATTATTAATGATTCTCACAGTGTTAATGAAGAAATGTTATTTATCAAATATAACAATTTCTTTACCGATAACAATTCATATATCTATTTTACGAAGAACATCACGTTGAGATTTAGAAATGTTTTCCATTGTTTTAATGATAGATAATTGAATGCTTGATAAATCTGTGATTATAAAATTGTAAATATTATAACTCTTACTCAATCTGCAGATATGTACATACACAAAATTTCAATACTTTAAAGATTAACATATATATAATATATAATAATTTAACACAATAAATAATAATCAAAGAATCCTCAACAGCGTCAAACGGAAGTATACAAGGGTAAATATAAGCGCTGTACTCCGTACGCATATGATAATGAATATGGAGTTATATCGTTATAATATAATATCTTACATAAATTTAAAATTATTAAATGTTTCAATTCATCTTCGGATCATTTCTAATGTTAGGTCACACTACCATGAAAATGATTCGAAAATAAATTGAAACGATAATTTTAAACTTATATAAGATATTTTATTATAACATCACCACATAGTAGGTATTCACTATTGTGTGCGCACGAAGTACAGCGCTAACTCTCATTTACCCTTATGTAAGTACTTCTATTTAATATATTATTTACGAATTTCCTCTTACCGTTTTTATTACAAAAGCATAAGTTAGAATCCTTGGAATTTGCTATTTTCTTTAACGCTTCATTACAATTTTTTTCAGAAAGTATACGTGTATTTGTGAAAAATGTATATAAATGTCTTTATTAATCTCAAAGATATTATTTAAAACATTAATCTAACAGAATTTGTATGCATTATTTACCTCTTGCTTGTTCAATAGCTAATAGATCTTTATTATTTTTAACTTGTGAGTATTGTATTTGCTCTTTTTCTGAATGACAATTTTCTATATCATTTATAATATGACGTGATATTGATATTTTATTTTGCTGTTTTAACTGTTGTGGTATTTCAGGATATTTTTCAATTTTTTTATTTCTTACAGATTTATCAATTTCTTCTTCACTGCTTGAAGAAAAATTTTTTGCTGCATTAAGCCTTCTTCTTTTTTTGTTAACTTCTACGTCTTCATCTGAATTCAAATCTGATAATTTCTCAGCTAATTTTAACTTTTTTTTTGCATTTGCAAAATTATCTGAAAATGAATTATAATACATTGTAATACATTATAAGAATATCTGATTTCTTTAAAGTTGTATAAATAAAAATTTTATTAATTTTCAACTTACCTGTACTTCCAAATATCTTTTTAATATCAACTGTTATACTGTCATTTTTTAAATCTTTCATTTTTTCAACTGCTTTGTCATATTCTTTCTGAGTTTTCAAATTTGGCCAATATACCGCAGATTTTTTGTCACAAGTAAACCAATTTTCAGGTATAATTTGAATACCGTCTTCAAATTCAACTATATAATATTTCTTGCCCATATTCATTGTTACACAGCGTTTTATTCAATATATCTATATTATTATAATTTATAAATAAATCACTTGTCTATTCAATATGCAATAATGGTATAACTACAGATGTATTGTTTGTATATGGTATTATTAACATTTTGTTAACAATATCTGATATCTCATATATAAATAATTCAGATATATCACTAACTACGTAAATATCAATTAAAGATGATGGACATGGAACATCGAATAAATCATTTTTAATTAAATATTTTCTTCCAATAGCAACTAGGCATTTCCTTGTATTACAATATGCAATATTTTCTATTTTTAGAATGCTTCGATCACTCATAAGACAACAATTATTCACATTATCATTTATTTTTATAACATAACCTGAAGTAGTGATAAATTTATATTGAGGACTTGTGCAATTATGAATAATCGGACCATTGAAATGTTCCTTCAGTACTTTTATTTTAGGATCTTTTTTATATGACACTGCACTATATGCAACAATATTTTTCTCTACATATCTCCTATGCAATTGCTGTAACGGTTTATCAGCTTTACGAATTAATTTTTTTACCTCTTGTAAAAAGTTTTCATATCTAAAAGCACTGAATGAATCTAAAGTGTCATGTATTCTAACATCATTGCATATATGAATCAGACCGTGAATATTATGAGATACATGATGTTCTCCATATAGAATTTTAAAACTTTTGACATAGTGCTTCAATAATTCTTCAGCATAATCCAAGTACTTCTTACACAAATCCTCACAACATAAAATTCTAGCAGCAACATAAAGAGTTAGGAAATGATAATATAAATCATTCGGAAGTATGTCTTGCAGAACAATAGGGCCTGTATATAATAGAATTTGTCTATACTCGGTTGCTTTCCATTGTTTTAAATAATCTAAAGATCTGGGTTTTCTACAAAATTCAACCGGTATAGCTTGCTTAATTACAGTTTCTAACTTGTTTGATAATACTTGACATTTATAATGTTGTAAACGAACCTTTAAATCACCTTTTATCCATAAATTAAAACATTTTCTTATAACTCCAAGACAAAGTAAGTGCATATAGTCAAGAGGAATATTTTCTATAAAATGTAATTCTGGTATATTTTTTAAAATAGTGCAGCCCAAATGAAAATTTTCATCTGTTTCATTTCTGAAACTATCATTTGTTCTCTTTGCAGCATTAATATCTGCAAAACAAACGCGTCCGTTTCTGTATTCACCTTCAACTGTACATTTTGTACAACTAAAATAACCACTGTGGCCTTTTACGTTCAATATAAAAGATTTTGCAGGAGCATCGCATACAATTTGTTTAATTTTAATATTGTACGATTTTTGACATAAAAAAACTCCATTGTTTATTAATTTTATTATTTCTTCTACAAAATTTTTTAAAAAGTCATTACAATTATTTGGTTTTTTAGATCCATAATATGCACCAATTATAAATACTTCTTTGTAAGGCAAAACGCATCCTAGAATTGGCCATAATGATGATGTCGATGATCTTGACATAGGCAACCCATCAATATTAATTCCTACATTTATTGTACATATATTTTTGAATCTGTAATTATATTTTTCAAAATATTTTTCTCTAACGCACAACAATACGAATCCCAAAATGTACATATGTACCAGGTGAAATAATTTTGATTTCAGTTTGCGAAGGTGTATGTAATAACGTTCTTGGATCGACCGGTAAATCAGAAAAGCATTCGTGTATACGGAGAATTTTTAATAATTCGCGCAGTGCAATACGATTAATATTATTAGTAACAGCCCAATTACATAACGAAGATTTTAAACTTCTTTTCTTTTCGATATTTTTAATATTGTTCTGATCATCTAACTTCAATATTTCATTTGCTAAGTTTGTATATGTTATTTCGTTTGAATTTATTGAATCATTTAAATTGTCAGTATCATTTATTGAATCGTTTGAATTGTCAATATCATTTATTGAATCGTTTGAATTGTCAATATCATTTATTGAATCGTTTGAATTGTCAATATCATTTATTGAATCGTTTGAATTGTCAGTATTATTTATTGAATCATTTAAATTATTAATATTATTTGTTTTCAGCGGTATATTGGATATGCTTCTCTGATCGTTATGTTGTGATAAATTTATTTCATTGTGTACAAGTCGTCTCAAATATCTAGATGACATTTTATTTAAACGTTTGCGTTTTCCACTCATATCTTTTTCTAAACAAAACAATATTGTTGTTTTTTATTATTTTCAAACTTTATTAATCTAAAAACTGTGTAAAGCTGGAAACACAATGAAAAGCACAGGCAATAGGAACAGGGAATAAGAGATTTCAACCTATCAGAAACCATGTATACTAGAATGGGCGCTTTCTGATAGGTTGAAATCTCTTATTCCCTGTTCCTATTGCCTGTGCTTTTCATTGTGTTTCCAGCTTAACCCTCAAAACCTTTATAATAACATCCACAAAATAGTACCTTATCCACACAAACACATACACTCGGTGTTAACTAAGCCTATAGATATTTTTTGTACGTACCATATAAGAGAAAATAGGGTAAAATTTCCTTTGACAAAATGTGATTAATACTTTGCTCAATTTACATGTGGTGTAATGCCCACCGTGCACGTGCCGTAATGTAAACCTATTTCACAAGAAGTCTTGCGGGCACACAGAATAGGCGATTCATCCAAGGAGATTAATAGTCGTTAGAAATTCATACAGCATAGGATAAGAATATGTACCTTATTTGGGCAAAAAATAAAAACATATCAAAATCATTACGAGCATGTATCAAAAGTAACCTATTTATAAACATGCATTGATATCGTACATCACGTATTAATATAGAAAGATGTATGTAACAGTATATTTTGTACGTATCATATAAAAGAGAATAAGGGAGAATTCCCTTGAAAGAATTTGATAATTTCCTTAACACTTAGCTCGATTCATACGTGGTGTGATGCCCACGTGCATGTAAACTTATTCCACAAGAAGTCTTATGGACGCACGACAGAATAGGCGATCAATCGAAGGAGGTTAGTAGCCGTTAGAAATTCGTACAGCATAGGACGCTCAGAGAATACCTTTACTCTTTGGTAAGAGAACGTTGTCCGTCCACATCCGTTTGCGAATACGAGGCAAGTTAAGAGCAGAGGAGAGCCGAGAGCATGCGTTGCATCATCTATGACCCAGACAAGTTGCACGAGCAGTAGAAGGGAGAGAGGGGAACTACTTCGTTGCGTTCGGAAATATCACCCGAGTGCTCCCGTGTATTGTTTTACCCTTGTTGTTCACCCAATGTTAAACAAGGATAATGTGATACACGAGGACACCTGAGTGATGTTTTCGAACGCAGCCTTGCACGGACGAGTTTTTATACAATTCGACAACGTTCCTCACCGAATAAAGCGACGTCCACAATGAGATTCTAAAGCGTAAAACTACAATTAAGCCATAAGAAATTGACTAATTATTTTTATTATTTTCTTTATTTACGGATTTTCTTATATACCGTTGGTTATTTTCTTACAGCTTAAGATGCCTTTTCGCTCATTTTTTGCGTCAAAACAGATCAAATTTGACGTCTGATATTCATTAATTTTTATTATTTTATCATTTTTATACGTAAAAATACATGTTATCTTTTATGAACATATAAAATCCCACATAGCACACATTTGCGAGTGTTACGTCCCGGTCGACGAACACGATTT